TAGTTAAATCCTTCAAACCCCCTCCTCCTCCCACCCCCAAAACAAGAATTACTTCCTTCTTATATTTTTTTTTCTTAAATAAGAAACTGATGGGAAATATTAGTTTCAAGTTTTACCTTAAGATGGTCGTCTTCCCCCAAGTTTTGACTATGGGTGACTGTGCACTTGAAAATATCTGAACACCACTGGTCTAGCAAAATTCTGGGATATATTACTATTATGAAGCTAATCTGTAGTAACTGCTTCTCTGGAATATAATCTCCTTCACAGGGCCTTTCTCAATCTCCTGGCAGCCAGATTTGGGACTCCAAGCTTGAAACTGTGAGCTTCCATTTTCAAGATGAGAAAATACTGGAATGATAAGAAACTTAAAAGTTAAACCATTTCAGACCTGCTCACACCAGCGTGAGAGATGCTTGTCTAAAATTGTGTGACTTTATCTTTTACAGGTCAGTTAAGCTGGCAAGAGCCATAACAAAAATGAAGCATTTTTTCTACATCAGGCACTTTATCGAACAGCAGTGAACCCTTGTTCTTAGGGGGAAAAAAAAGGAATCAAAGCAATAGGTCACTGAGCTTTATTCTTCTACTGACTAAATTTATCATGCTAGAATTTGTTCCTGTGAGAGTCACAATCTCCTTAGCCTATTTTTACATTTTGCTTCTCTTTTAGATCCACCTCCTCAATGCAGAGGTTGTTCCACATACCGTTCTCACCAATTCAGTAACATCCTGTTCATGATGAGAGTTCCTGGTTCCTCACGGCTGGATGTTATGCACGTACATGGCTGATTCAAATATGATACGAAACTATTTCTGTGCAAAAACTAGATCAGTTTATTGCACAATGAGAAGGACTGAGCACAGTCCTCCACAATTCTTACAGCAATTCTGGTTTTCCTCTCCCCATCCTCAAGAGAAATCCAACTACACATGGATTTCATTGCTCTCATTGGCTTCACTACTGATATCCAATTTTTAAGCAGAAAATTTATACCAGATTTCTCAACACTTAACCATGGAAGCTCTAGATTTTTGTTGTTGTCTCCATGTGTTTCTTGTAGATATTTTATTTTTAGGATCTCTTCTACTACTGGGCACACTCAGTGACTATTTTTAGACCCCTGCAAAATTCTCTAACACCCATACTTTTTGATTCAAGCTTTCCTTTCCTAAAATTTAAAAGTTACTCAGTAAAGCATATACCAACTGGGGAAGTATTAAATCATTCTACAATTGTGTTCTTCTTTATATTTTCATTTCTCTTTATGATTTGATTATGGGGGTTTAAATGAGTTTTTCAGACACATACACTCACCCCAATGGTCTCACTTTCTTACAGTAAAATACAAGATTTAACAAATTCTTTTATATCAGAAATAGTGAAAAGTCTCAAGCCAGACTATTAGAATGAGTCAGGGCCCATCATGGATGCTGCCACATTAAGTGGTCACGGTATGGCAGAGTGCCATGGAAATACACAAGGAGAAAGGGGACAACCGGAGGCTGAATTCTCTGCCAGGGAAAGCCAGGCAACAGCAAGCTGGGGTCATCGGCCTATTCTTCTGTGGCCTACAGAAAGGGATTCCAGTAAACAAGAATTTACAGCAGACCAAAGGCACAGTGAACACCAACCACCAAAACTTTTTTCATTACTGTTTTTAGTAAACACGTTTGCAAAACCCCTGAAGGAAAGTCCACACAACCCTAGACCTTCCAACCATAACAAGTGCCTGCTTTCCTGCTGCAAGAGAACAGCAATCCCAGAATGACATCACTAAACACTATGAAGAGGAAACTAGTGCTTAGAGGTTTAATGCAATCTGACAGTTCCTTAAGGTACCATTTAATCAGAGCATTAGAAGGCAATCACCAATTTCTATGTAAGTAAACTATCAATAGACAGCTGCTTACTTGTATTTGAAAAATGTGCTTTCATGGGAGAATGTTTTTCTTGCACACCTGATAACGAAAAATTTAGTTAAACTGGATTATTAAAAAACACTGGATATTGCAAGCAGTTTACAATCCAGCCCTTTAACAAACAGTGCCTTCATGTGTTTATTATAGGCATTTTATTATTTTAAAGCTAAGGTTCAACTATGTCTTACAGTTGTAATTCTGTCCTCCTACATATCCACAAGCAAATTTGGTCAATTTCAAATTATTTGTAAAGCCTCCTACATAGAAAGGAGTTTGAGATTTTAAAATATACTAAGTTTAAAATAAACAAAGTCAACCTATCAGTGTCATAAACCTTGTGAATTGTCTATTTTTTGTTCTAGCCTAATAAGGCATCCTAAAGTGGCAAGAACCACATTGTGAGAATGACTGTCCTTGGCCAGAGGTTGTATGCATATCGTATTTCGTAACATTTTAATAATGTTTATTATGTAAGTTTCCCTAATTAACTTCTAAACTTACTTCTACATTTGGCATCTGTAACATCCTGTGGCAATGAGTTCCAATATGTAATTATGTGTTGCATGAAAAATCACTTATTTTAAACCTACTGCTGGGTAAGAGCTAGGAGTCATCAAAAACGTGTCATCAGAAATGATGAATAATCATGATCTCCCCATCCTCTCCATAACATTAGCAGCTTTATATACCTCTTGCATTTCTTCTGACCTAATTTCTTTTCAAAGCTGCAGAGTCCTAATCACCCCGTACAGGTATCTCTTTCCCCACACATAACCTGGTTTGTCCTTGATAAAAGAAAGGACATCTGCAACTGTTGGTACTATTTCAGATTGGTCATGGATGTCGTCATGATGTTTGTATAGAACGATAATGCAACTTCAAGCTCTCTTTTTTGAATAGTAACAATTTAGACTGCCATGCATGTTAGTTAGCCAGTTCCCTCCTGCAAGCATAATTGTATAATATTGTATAGTTAATGCACTTGCCATTCTTCCCACAACTGTTCACAGATTTAGGGGATCTTAATATCGTGAATTTGATCAACATAACTGGTCTAACTGGTCTGCTCTGGCCTCCAATCAGGAGGTCTGGAGACACACCGTCTATAACGCTGCTGCTTCCTTTGAGAAAGCACGCAGGATCACTCTCGAGGAGAAAAGACAATGCAGAAAGAATCGTGTCTTGCAGAATATACCTCCTAAGGAGTCTTTCTATTGTGCCTTTTGCGATCAAACATGTCTATCTCGCATTGGCCTTATTAGCCACCAGCGTGCTTGTAACAAATGTGGATAGAGCCTTTCCCAAACCTTAGTTCGCGAAGCCTAGCCATGAATATCGTGAATGGTGTATGAGTACAAGCTGTTATTTTGTTGTTTAGCTCCTTTCACAGACTTATTAAAGCAGCAAAGATCTTCATATAGATCCCTGTAGGAGTCTACTCTTGGCTTGTGATAACTCATCTTCTATTCTCATTCTTTTTTTTCCTATCTTAAATAATTATCAACCAGAGAGGACTTCTCCCCTACTGTTGTGACTATCTGATTTCTTCAAGAAAGAAACTTTGCCAGAATTTGTGATGGACTAGGATGGTTAATTCATATGGGATATAAAGTTCTAACATGACCATGAACTCACATCCAACTAAGCTACAATCTGTCTACAACAATCATGTTGGTTCTTTTTTGTTACTTTTTATTCTACATGTACATGTTCATCTTCATATTTCTAAATGCATATCTTCCCATTTGACTATGAAGTGTTAATTAATTTTGATAAAGACTGAAATAAAACTTTCTGGGCTGTAGCTTCATGTAAATTATGCTACATTTCCAAATTCAGTGATTATGTATTCAAATTACTCCAGACCTGTTATTTTTCATTTTAATCAGTTTGATCTCGAAATTCCTCCCCAACACTTGAGTTTGAAACAGACCACCTGAGACATCTTAAGTAAGCTCCAGTGAAAAAAGCTCCATATATCCTCTATAATTAACACAAATGCAAAAAGAATCTTTGTGAGATTTGGTGCTAAATATTTATCTTCTGCTAGTGTCCTCACAATATCTTGATTCCTACTGGGCCTGGAGACTACTAGGTCTCTTGTTTGTGACGTGACTGAAAAATTTCTCAAAGTTCTTTCTGTGCTTGTCTTCTGGTTTTCACACATAACTTACCAGTTCCGCATCCGTTTCCCACATTTGGTTACAATCTCTACTTTTTGAAGTCTCTTCACCTGTTAGAGATTTTCCTCCTTTGCAGTTCAATAATACTGAATTTGGGGTTTCTTTCTCTCCCTTATGACAGATGGCAGATGTTTAACATTTCATATGGTAGCACTTGACGCCAGTAAAAGCCTTATCCTTTTAGCTGTTCCTTTTGACAATTTCCTAAGAAGCATGCTCCCTTAGGCACAGTTCTCTCCATAAGACATTACAGGAACATATTTTACACTTCCTCTTAAAACAACATGGCAAACATAGTCATTATGGTTACTCTTGTAGGGCAGCCCAACAGTAATTTCGTCTTAAACAAGGTCTTGTGCATTGCACGTTGGTCAAGAGCTACTACTCTTGTGAGCTGACAGCTTACCAGAAAACCCAATACATCATCCTTCACTTCCACATTTACTGAGTCTTCATACACATAACAGAACCATGTAATAACAGGAAATGGTTCTTCCCTCAGCATCTTACCTCCTATAGCATTTCATAGGAATGTTCCATCTCATTAACACAGCCAGTGTAACCCTCACCCTCTTTTGCTCTATTTGCACACAAATTCAAACCATAAATGTACTTTCCTGTCTAGACAAACACAGCTTTGACCACAAACCCTAACACAGAATAATGCATCTCCCAGAGTAGTTTGCATAAATGTTTGCCCTTACACTAACATCCTCTTGTACGAATTTTCTGCGATGTCAAATATGTCAACATCTGGATTTCCAACCAGAATTCCATCTCTCATACTCAATTTTTCACATTTCAGATTTTGTCCAGAAAATCATCTGTAACTGCCACTGGTCTAATTGACTAATTCTAATTTTTTATAAAGAGAAGCAAGTAGGAAATACATACATGACGGTGTTAATCCCTGACAGTTGTTGAAACATCTGCAGACCACAACCCACAATTAAGGCTCTTCGAGTTGGAGGGTATGTTAGCATTCTGCAGATCACAGGTCCAGCTTAAAAAAAAACAAGACAACAACAAAAGAATACATAATAGTTCTTAAGTGATCGCTATCAAGACAATGTTGCCAGGCATATCAGGCTTTGCACCTTAGTTTCAAACAAACTTGAATTATTTCAATTATTTTTGAACAATTCAGTCATTTCAGTTCTGCTTTTCTGCACTGTACTACAAAGACGATTTTCAGGAAGCCCAAGCAAAAAAATGAAACAATTTTTGTACACAGTGTCTGCTACTGATGTCAAATGTACAGCTCTCCTATATCATACTAACAGATGGCACACCTGCTGCAACTGAATGTACTCAAGAGTTATCACAAAATATATCCGTTGTTTCCTTTCTAAAAGCTTCCACTGTTATTGAGAGGTTGTTTCAGAAATGCCGTTACTCACTGCTAAGATCTGGATTTTGGAGATGAAGTGTTCTCCCTAGTCCCCAAAAGACCCAATTTCCACAAACCAGTTGCAAGTGTGGGTATTTGAAGGTATAGGATAGATCTATTCTGCACAGCTCTAGAGGCCTGCAGAGGGAGCAGAAATTAATTACATCTTTTCCATACCTTTGGTAGCAATGGTATGAGGCTGCATTCAAAACGCAGAAAACAGTTTCTTAATGAAGGAAAAAACCCCAAATTTCTGGCTAACAGAGAAAGTTTTATTCTCTATTTAAAACTTTCAAAGTATAGTGGGGAGAAAAAAAGTAGTACAGAAAGCTATGGAAGAATACGAAAAAATTTCAAGTCCCCAACTCTAGTATTTACATGAATTTCTTTCTGCACAGAGTAGTGCTTTTTCACCTGCTGAAATATTTTATGTCTTACACATCTTATCACATCTGGTATACCCATTCAGAACATCTAATCACAATATGAATAGGTCAAAATTGCTGCCATCCAAAAAAAAGGGAGGTGGAAAAGGATCTACAATTTTACATTTTCAAAGTCTTTCCTAAAAATATAGAAAATATTAAAAGTATTGGTTCAGTAAAAAACCCTACATGGGTCTGTTAGTGAAGAATTGACATGCAGAGTTCCAGCTTCAGAAAGCTGACAATCTTTGAACAGTTTCAAGAGTGGGACTCAAGCAAGGGGTTTAGATAACATTTTCTTCATTGAAAGATAATCAGACCTGCCTAAGAAAGATTTATTTTCATTTAAAATGATGGTATTTATAATTCATATCTCAATTGTATCATCATTTAACTTTGCTTCCTTAATATTAATAGCAGAATACAGCCTGATGAATTTTCTAGTTGGTTTACACATAACATTAACATTACACAGTCTCATATGTCCTGCCATTTAGCCACACCATTACCTCAAAATGTCTTCAAGCAAAATCAAGTGACAGATAAATCTGGTGACAGATAAATAGAGTCAATCCATAGATCTCATAAGATATACTCAAGCAAGACACATGACATCATTGGGCCGACAAGTACATCAAATGGTTCCATAGTCAAAGTGGCATTTCCTCGGTGGAAAAACAACAAAGTCGGCACTCACTGCTAGCTAGGAGCAGTCCAGAGCTCAGACATACTCTGGGATTTCTCCTCAACTCCAAGCTTCACAAAGAAAAAAGATTTACTAAGAAATGTACCTATGAACTTTAATTCACCAATGACAGCCCTCAGGTTCTCATATTTGGCATCACACCTGAGCATGGAGGCTTTGGGCTTAAAAACCTTATCTGGCAACTGATTCTGCAGCATCTATTCTAAATCCACGCTGTTGAGATCTTCTGTTCTTCATAAACTTCCTATAAGGGCCTTAACTGAGTTCAAAATCTATCTTTATCCTCAAGGGACCTTTCAGCCAACCTACATCTTACAGTCCATCTTCAATGGTCATGCTCATTGAATAAGCTGGAACTCTACAGCAAGGGCTGACAGGAGAGTAGGCAGAAATTTCCTAAGGAACTGATGCAACTGATGTCCTGATCCGCTCATCTATTTTATGGAAGTTATATAAAATTCTGTTCACAATGACCCATTGTACAAAACAATTGGAAAGGAGGCACTAAAATGAATAGCTAGAAATTAAAGCAGCTGTTCTCAGACAATGGCTTGCAACTCAGAGGGAGTCATGAAGTCTCAACAAAACTCCATCGCACAAATCAGCTTGTGCGCTTGAAGTGGGGCCCTGCAGAAATTTTGCAATAGAGTACATGCACTAAAGTTTGGACCTTTACATTAGAATTTCACACTTTAAACCTTTAGAATATTCAGTCAGCTAAGTTCAGTAAGCACTTGGAGTTTTTCAGACTTCTGATTAATTGTATCACAAAAATGATGATAAAAATTATCATACTTGTTCAAGTCAGCGTTTAAAAAGATTCACTCCAAATCTGTACCATGGCAACTGCCACACATAAATAGGCATACACAAAATTAAAGTATTTTCTTTCATAAAATTCACAGCCTTCAGGTTTACAAACCAATAAATGGAATGAAAGAAATAAAAGAAACTGCTAATCTCTATATTAAAGGAGCTTTACCAACTCAATGAAAAAGCCCAAAGGACTTTGACTGTGAGGCGAGTGGTTTTTAAAACAGAAAATGAGTGTGAAACTTTTTATTAAAATTATCTAGCTCTGATCTAGCTATATTGTATTTGCATTTTCCTATCATCAATCCTTCCATCCATATTGTTGAGTTCATATGTTACAGTCTTAAAAATAAACACCTCTAGACAGAACATGGGTTTTAACTACAGAGAATGGGTCTAAAGTAAAAAATTAAAAACAAACCAAGTTTTCAGAATTAAATACATTTTTCGTCTGAAAATCAGTCTTCTGAAATCCAAAATTGTACTTCAGTAGTTTCTGATAACCCTTAAATATGGCGTTAGTTATGACAATACATTAAAATGGCACAAAACAATAAAATCATTACGTCTTTAAAAAACGGAGCAACTTAGCTGCTCATAGAACTAGAGGGACACAGATGATTTAAACATAAATCACAGGAAAAATATTAAACATCCGGCAATTTGTACAAAGGAAAAAATAGATATTTGTCTCCAAAAAGTCAGATTTTTTTTGTTTGCGATATTTCTGCCTTAATTGCTGTTGTTTTTTTTCCAGCTAGATTTAGACACATTCCTGCATCGCAACCACTTCATTTAACTTGAAAAAGCACCAAGATGTTTGTTTTCCTTCTTCTAATCTATGAATAAAAATTAAGTCAGATTTTTGATGGATGAGACCTCCTAATGCCATGATTAATTCAATGAGACTAGATTTGGTTGGATTTTTAATTCCTTTATCTGAAGTAAATTTCTTTAACACATAATTTTTACAAAAGTTCAAAACATGCTACAGCTTGCTTTAATGAGAGTCCAAAATGGCAGCATGAGATAAAGAGTAATGGAAAAACAAGGATACTGCTGCTGTAGAAGGTGACATTGCTTGAAGTGGTGATACTTGAAGTGGATTGCTGTGATCCAAATGGATATTTTGTAGCTTGATCCAAACTGTCTACCAAACTAGACATTCATCCTTATAAGCAAAAGGCAAAATATAGTATTTGGAAGTTTAGCTTCACATCTAAAAAAAACCTTATTAGATTACACTGAGCTAAACAGGGGAGGAGAAGCTGTTCTTGTCAAACCATTACTTCTGAAAGTGAGTGATGCTTTCCAAATATTACAATTTAATGCCAGTTTCCTATATTTTAGCTGTTATCCTTGTTGTTAGGCATAACCCACAAATTAGGTTTGTACATTTCGAATCCCCTGGCAAAGGCACTTTGATTTTCCTCTGCAGATAAAACGAAGTGTATGGTAACCATAGGAGCTTGGGTGCGATCCACTGCCAACTAAAAGACAGAGATAATTTTCAAAGGCAACACAACAAAAACTCTAGTTCTAAAAGGAGTTTATATAATGAAAGCAGAAGAATGGGTATTAATGACATCTTAGCATCTCTGTGTGAAAATGTACTGCATTCTCTTCCAGGGAAATAAAAATATTGTAGGATAAAATCCCACAGCAAATGCAGGCAGACATCTGGTGCTTGGAAATCTTATGATTCCCCATCCCACAAATTATTAGAAGAATACCTAGCAAAATTTCACAGCCAGGAAACTATGGTTAGAGACTGGGCTCTGCCAAAGTCATTTGCAGGTTCAAACATTTATTTGCCAGCTAATCTAGGTAACAGCTTGTAGCAACAGCCTAAAACTATGTAGGGATCCTGCCAGCATTTCGTGCTCTTGCTGTAGAGGGCTGTTTCCAAAAAAGCAGGCTTAGCCAAGCAACAAGACAGTCACTCATCAGTTTAGCATCAATTAAGCTCAAGATTCAGATTTGTTTTCTGGACCTTTTCTTGTTCTAATACCAGCCAATACCCTCTCTTCCACCTAGATAAATCTTCAAGGAATTGATCTACAGTTAAAAATAAGCGACCAAAGAAAAGAAAGTTCGTGTTTGTGATCTTAGTAACAGAGGACAAACATGGGAACCATTTCTCTGTTTTAACTTTCCTTACAAAATGACAGCTTCCAGTCTAGCTCTCTCTGCATCATCTGAAACGTTCCTGCAGAATCTTACTTCACCAAAGACTCCTCCTCCAAAGCACTTAGATCTAGCTATTATTTTCTATGTATGAATGATATACTTTTCCTCTCCTTGTCTATTACATGATTATTTTCTGAAAGTATCAACTTCATTCATTTTTCCTTTCTGTAAAATTTAGCAAATCAAAAGATAATTAGCTTTAAGATCAAAACTGCATTAACTATGCTGAAAAGATGTAAAATAATTTTACTTAAGTACCATGTTCTTTCCCACTGTCTTATATTGTTTCCAGCAATGTTGGAAGAACCACTCCCAGCATTAGAAGAAACTTCCTCCCTCATATAGTTCACTAATCCTTTGAGAAAGCTTGCTTGAGGTTTTTCAACTTCCTTCTTTACGGCGTGGTTCCCTATCAGCCAAGAAGGAGAAAAGATCATCAGCTTGCCTAATCATGAGTCTTAGTATTTTTCAGCTTTCCA